TTAATTACAAATTGAATGATGGCGTCATGCTTTCAAAAATATAGTTATTGTTAGCATCTTTCATCTATCTCTCCGGGAGGGCACTGCCCCCACCCCCACCGGAGCACAATGTGTACAACAATATAGCACGCATATTTGTAAAAATTAAAAATGACAATTACGTAGTAACTGGTGCCTTTAACCGATTGCAATTAGTGGAATCTATGAAATAACGCTAGGCTCGATATGTTTAATGGTCTGTACAGTGCCGTCTTAAGGCATGGCTCAGTGGGCACTGGCCCAGGGCCCCGCACTTGTGGGGGGCCCCACGCTTGTAGGGGGCCCCTGGCTTGTCGGGGGCCCCAGGCTTGTAGGGGGCCCCACGTTTCTCGGAGACTCACTCTTATAGAGGCATCATGATTTACATATTTTTAATGAATATTGAAAGATTTTGATAAGTTTATTGGATTTAAATTTCCCTATTTCCCAATTTTGACCCACGATATTTATCAGCTCATTAAAAAATTAATATTATAAATGCGAATCAAAGTTGGACAAATTTAAGACTTTTAAAGGGGAATAGCTCTCGTCAACAAGTTTTACTTTTCCCAGATATGAATCGAAAAAAATAAGGTAAGAATCAGCTTCACAGTACAATGGGACAAAAACGTTTGAACGGACTTTCTTCACTTATGTGCATGGACAATGACATTCTTAAGACCATTGACTTTAACTTTAAACCAATAATAAAAGAATGCTCTCTAAAAAAAAAATTCGCAAACATTTATGTTGATTTATATTAAATAATTTATTCTATCTATTTATCAATAATGATTAAGGGAAATTCGGTCGAAAGAAATTTCGTCGACGGTAAATTGATCGACTAAAATTTGATGGAACGGAAATTTGTTAGAATCTTTTTTTCTGTTCACGCTTGAAAATTTTCGTGAAATTTCTTTTTAAACTCACTATACTATATGGTAAAACAAAATATTGCGTTCAAAAAGAAATTTGAAACAACATTTTAACGTAAAAACTGAAAAATAGATTCGACAAAATGTCCTTTCTATCAAATTACCGTCGATCAATTTACCGTCGACGAAATTTCCTTCGATCAAAGTTCCGTATAAGTGATAACTTATCATCCTCTGTGATTATTTATAGTTTATTTCTGATTAATATTTTAAAACTATTGATTTTGAATGATTTTTTTTTATCAATAAATTGAATTCATCGAAATTTGACTTTATTTAATGTTTATTTTTATTTTACATTTTTATTCCTCTTAGTGAGTTGGCGGGGAGCAAGAACTGCTTGTCCCCCACCCCACCCTCACTGTTTGAGCATGGGTGAGTGCCCCACTTCTCGCGGCCCAGGTATGTTGTGTTGCTGGGGAGCCCCTTTGCATTGCTGTGCCCAGGGCCTCCTATGTTCTAACGACGGCCCGGGATCTGTACCCTATTTAATGCTAATCAAGTTATAGTATTCGGTTATAAAAATCTCACTGGCCGTCCCAGTCATACTTCCTGTTGTTTATATCGCTATTTTTATGTATTTATTATTTGCCACTTCACAAGTTGAAAGACTACAATGACAAGTATTAAAATACATGAACATACCTATAAAGGTCTACAATTTTAATAATAGTTAGTCAAGTATTAAACAATGTGCAATCTGTTGTCCAATTAGAGTTCATCGTAAAAAACATCACTAAACAATTAGGCATCATGCTTTTTTTTTTGGGTCTAATTTAGAATTTAAAGGGCGCAAAGAAATAGCGCACACGTTTCATAAATTATTATTAAATCAAAATTGTTTTTGTTTTCTTTAAATGTGCTACCTTCTTACAAAGTTTCCTGAATAACAGATTTGTTTTTCTTCAAAAAAATACTTCGCCTTTATTCATTATTATGAACTTCCAAACTGCTTTCCTCTTGTTAATGTCAGAATAACAAACTGTCCCACCCATGGACATTGGGCTCATTTTTTATATGATTAATTTTATTTAAGATGAGAATCCAGTAGAAAGCTGAGCATTTTTTTGGGGGGGGAGGGGAGGGGGGTGAACTAGCAATTCGATTGTAATGCCAATTCGATTTTTTGGTACCTGTACGTGTTTAAAAAAACATTCTTACTCCTAATTCGTCAATTTAAAATAGATTCTGTGGATTAAGATAAAATATTTTAAAGTATAGTGAAGGGGAAATATAAGAAAGTTATAGTAGTTTGAAATTCAAACACAAAAAAATTAAATCTTCTGAATATTGGAAAATTTATAATTTATTTGCATACGAATTTCCCTTAGATGAAATCATACATTAGTAAATATAATGTCTTCTGTAAACAACTCATGGCTTCTTAAAATAGTTATGCCGTTCATAGGCAATTTATAAAAATGACCAGTTTTCAAAACCCATAAAAATGTATATACCTTTTTAATAAACCTGTATTATTATTTTTATTTTTGTAGGAAATATTTAGAAAAGGTAGTCTAATAATTATAAGTACGTTTTTTTTTTTTTCCATTTGTGTTCATCATATAAAATAATGTTGGCAGTGCTTTTTATTGATGGAACCCATTTTAAATATTTTTTTTTTGAAAATTCTTTTAATAATTAAGTACCTATCCCTAAAAATAATGTTAAAAAAAACATAAAAGCCACATTACTATTTTTAGTTAAATAAGTATTTAAATTTTTTTATTATTATGTTTTTTTTGCATAACACAAGCAGGTCAAGCAATTTCCGTTTTGCCAACCCTGCATTGGAAAGATGATAATTAAGAAAATATCCTCATAACATCTTTAAGCCGTATCCGGAAATTTGATCGAAAGAAATTTCGTCGACGGTAAATTGATCGATGGTAATTTGATCGAACGGAAATTTGGTCGAACTTTTTTTCAGTTTTTACGTTAAAACTTTTGCTTAAAATTTCTTTTCGAACGCATTATTTTGTTTAGCAATATAGTATAGTGCGTTGAAAAAGAAATTTGACGAACATTTTAACGTCTGAACTGAAAAAAGGTTCGACCAAATTTCCGTTCGATCAAATTTTCGTCGATCAATTTACCGTCGACGAAATTTCTTTCGATGAAATTTCCGGTAACCCATAACACAAGCAGGTCAAGCAATTTCCGTTTTGCCAACCCTGCATTGGAAAGATGATAATTAAGAAAATATCCTCATCACATCTTTAAGCCCCTAAAATATCCGAGGCACACTTCAGTCGAAGGTAGTGCTGGGCGCACACGATGGCTCTAAGGTTAAATGACACCTAAATGTTAACTAGGTTCTCTTCCGTTGCTCTCCAATGAAGTGTAGAATGTTGCAAACATAATTTCAGATATTGAAAAATGCATTCTTGGATATTGAATTTATAAACAAAATTCTGGGGACTATTATGATTTAAGGGGCGAGAATAATCTAGAGCCAAAGCGTACCCTCAAGGGGGACATAACTAGAGTGAATATAGTGAACGTCCCACTGGTGCGAAATTTAAGACGTCTTTGGTCATTAGTATGGCTTATTTGCCATTTCCCACCCAAAAGTTTGAAATTCCACCTCAAAATTGAAGGAAACAACAAATTCAAGTATGCTCTAAAATAATGCACCCCTGCATTTTGAGTTTGTACGACTGTCTTCAGCGCCCTTCATTATGCACCCCTTCCACCACGCTGATCATTGGTACACTATGGGGTTGATTATAAGCATATCCCTAATGATTACCCTGGGGCATGCCAGAAACGGAGTGAATTCAGTTTATATATGGCAATGGGCTAAATAATGCCTCATGATTACCCTGGGGCATGCCAGAAACGGAGTGAATTCAGTTTATATATGGCAATGGGCTAATGCCTCCCACAAAAATTTTAAAATGTTCTTCCCTGTTCGAAAGGTAAAATAGAAACATCGAATTTAAGTATACTCAAAAATAAACCTCATGATTTTGAAATAATAAAAAAAAATTTGGGGGAGCAGGCTCCCCTAATCGATCACCCCCCTACTCCTTGATGAAAATTATCGCTGATTTTGTTATCGATAGATAATAGATGCACTGCCTAGTGGCGTAGCTACTATTGAGGCTGCCATGAGCAGCCAAATAGTTTTGCCGTTCTCCCATTCTCGATACAAACTCTGCAGTTGTCCTAAAGTGCAACACCAGCATATCAAGAAAACGTGACACCTGGGTGGACCACTCCATCCGCCCTATTTCGACGCCACTAGCTGGGGCGTATCTACAGTGTTTGGCGTCAGTGGACAAGGTTCATTAGTACGCCCCCCACCAACTCTGAAACCCATTATTTTAAATCCATTAATTCCATCAAAGCCCATTTTTGCCCCCCCCCCGGCAAGTCTGGCGCCCCAGGACGTATGTCCCATCTGCCACCCCTTAGCCCCTGGCATAGCCCCGAAAGTCTGAAGTGCCCCCCCTCCCCTGGGAGAAACTTCACTGGTGTAAAGGATAACAGGAAACATGCCACCTGACTAAAGCATACTAAGTTCTTCTTTCGAATCCCGTATCCTTCTACCTCTTTTTCTATCTTTTCAGGACCCTCGATCATTGTATTGGTCATTCTGGCTCTTATATCCCCGGTCACATTGTAAACAAATAGTACACGTAATTTGGTTTTATGATCAGGGGCGCAGGAGGGGGGCAGTTTTTTTTCCTTTATATTGAGGGGCGGCATTTTCGGCCAGCAGCAGAGATCTGGCAGAAAGCCACGCCACTGTTAATGATGTATTTTAAGGTCACAATCTTAACAAAAGATTTTGCATCATGGCACTCAGAGGTTATGCGGCACTCAACGGTGCGCCGCGGCACTCAGTTTATGCCGCACTGTGATCTGAAATCATGAAGGTCACGTCACAAACGTATACAATGCAAGCAACAACACAGTTGGTGTGTAGTGACCGGCTTTTATTGTTCATCACCACAACACACAGGTCACAACACACAGGTCACAACACTTCCTGACACAAGCAGCACTTACTTTTTTCAGACAAGCGAGCAGACATTTTGTACTAGAACAGTGGTTCTCAACCTTCCTAATGCACCAACCTTTTAATACAGTTCCCCCCCCCCACCCCAACTAACCATAAAACTATTTTCGTTGCGACTTCATAAATGCCTATTTTCCGATGGTCCTAGGCGATCGCTGTGTAAGGATTCGCGACCCACGGGTTGAGAGCTGCTGTACTAGGAACCAATACGGAATTCACTTGCAACCAGTGGTCACATCAAACACACCATCATTGCCCGCGGAACCATACACCAGCAGGGGCTACTACACCCTCCTCCACCGGGGGGGGGGGGAGGGGGGCCACTACACTCTACACCACCAAGGGCGTCTACGGTGAGTCAGCACCCACCTTTCAATTACAGTCAAGCTGCTGTTGGAAGTACATGTCCCAAGATTAAGCGTGACAAGTTAGCAAGTAAAGTTACATCTGTTCACAACACACCTGGGCTACCTGGACTCAAGAGATCGCACACCACACTTCCGTGGGTTACCTGGACGCAATAAAAAAATAGCCCACACACACCCTCACCTATTCACACCCCACACATACCCCGTATCACCATAACCACACCCACACTCAACCGACCACCACCCACACCATTATAATGAAAGCATATAAAAGCCATCAACCGAACAGAAAAGTTATCAACCATCATGTCATCATGGCATTTAACGATACAATGGTAGGACAGGTACCCTAAAGTACACCACGTTCAGGCCCTTTGTCTACCTGTAGAATACTGTTACACCTTCACCGTGATCAAAAGGACAAGGTATTAAATTAAACAATTAAATCAAACCAATTTAAAGATAATAAGTAAAAAATGTGATCTTAATGATAAGTACAAGCAGCTGTTTCTGTTTAACAGGTGGACGTACAAGCAGCTGTTTCTGTTTAACAGGTGGACGTACAAGCAGCTGTTTCTGTTTAACAGGTGGACAATATTTGGAGAACCTGCTTTTTGTGTCGGTGTTTCTGAACTATATTAGGGTTGACAATGTGGTAACAACAGAATGGTTCATTTGCTGTCAAGCTTGTCTAGGAGTGTCCTTTTGGGACTTTCTTGTTGGATTGTCCAGGAAAGTCTTAGTACACTGTCCAGGACTGTCCTACTACGCTGTCCAGGACTGTCCTGCAATATTTAACATGAAATTTGGCCACCCCTGTACTATTAAATCAAAATTATTAATTTTTTTTTTTTTTTTAAATGTAGACAGGAATATCAGTATGGGGAAAAAATATGTAAAATACTGTAAAGATTATTTTTTAAACTTATATCTAAGAGAAATTATTCATTCATCATCTTATTCGACATTAATAACTCTATCATTCCTTTCCAAAAAACATTTACAATGTTTGAGTATTTACCCTGAGAGTTGTACATTCTACCACATAAATGGATCATTGTAAAGGAACAATAAAAAAAAGATCTTAATTTCAATGAAATAAATAAATGGTATAGCTAGGTACACTGACTGTATTTGATTGATCAAATTTTCTTATTTGTAGCTGTAATATTAGTAATAACTAATCAATTTATTTAAATAATTCTTTTTTCCAGGATGTGTACCCTTGCTCTGTTCTAGCTATTTGTGTATTGTATCTAAATAAGTAATGGGATCAGTGACTGCCTAAATATGTAGCGCTATAGTTATTCTGTATTTTGGTAGAATTAGCTTAACTATGGGTGTAACTATTGATTTTTTGCAATTTTTTAAATATGACCGATTTTTTGCTTAACGCTTAATGTGAATCCATACTCTTTTCTAAAATATTTTGTATTTTAAATATACTTGTTATGGGGACACTGGCTATTTAAGCACATAGACCTTTAGTTCCACTACATTTTGATAGAATTTTCATGTATGCTTTCTGATCGGTACATTTTGTGATTTTTTTTAAATATACAAATATTGCGTTTTTTAACCTCCTTTTTCTTTTTTTTCAAAATGTGAGGAAACATCATTTTCATGACAATAAAATTAAATGAATTTATTATTTTTACCTTTCAAAAAAAATTGAGTCTGTTCTCTATAAGCGTCGGTATGTGTTGAGTGTAAGTGAATGTGTACCCGGTATAGTCTATGTGATTTATTTTTACAGATATAACTTTACAAAAATTGCACTTTTGACTCTGGCAAAAAAAAAAAATGAAAATACTAAATTTTAAAAAATTCCTAACTTTTTTTACTAATTGAGTTATATGAATAAGTTTTATATCCACATTCTAAGAATCATGAGTTCTTGACATAAAACAAAGCTATAGGACTGTTTGGAAAAATCAGTATGTGGTACCTAATGTTCATCTAAATAATAAATTTTGATCTAAAAAAAACATGAAAACCATGGGTTATTATTAACCTAAATTATTTCAAAATGTGTGTTCATCCTTTAAAGTATTAAAGCCGTCTTGAATATAAAGATATGCATAAAATATTGTCTCCAACCATAACATTAGTAACATATTATCATATATTAAATTAAAAAGCTCAAAGCAGAAATCAATCAGCAAACAGCAAACCAGGATATTTTAAAACGGGTAGCCACACAAAGAAAACTGAATTGAAAATGTTTTAAAAGAACATAAAGCATTAAGTTGTATTTATAAAAGGATGGTTTTGTGGTTTAAGATGAATTTATTCACAGTCAGGGCAGGTAAAATAATTACTGTCAACTTCCCCATGTTATTTGAGTCTCTGTGGCTACAACTCAACAATGAGGTTGAGACCTGTCTCTGATGTCACAGAGAAAAAAAAGGAAAAAAAAGTGTCTCAGACTTGAACATGTTTTAAAACAACACAAATTATAAAGTTGTATTTCTTAAAGCATGGTCTTGTGGTTTTAGGAGCTTTTTTCCCTGTAAGATGAATTTATTCCCAAGTACTGAAGTAGAGAGTGCCTGCTTTTAAGATGAATTTATTCCCAAGTACTGAAGTAGAGAGTGCCTGCTTGTAAGATGAATTTATTCCCAAGTACTGAAGTAGAGAGTGCCTGCTTTTAAGATGAATTTATTCCCAAGTACTGAAGTAGAGAGTGCCTGCTTTTAAGATGAATTTATTCCCAAGTACTGAAGTAGAGAGTGCCTGCTTTTAAGATGAATTTATTCACAGTCAGGGAAGGGAAAATAGTTACTGTCAACTTTTCCCATGTTATTTCACTTTCTGTGGCTACAATTCTGTGGCTACAATTCTGTGGCTACAACACAGTGATGATTGAATCTCTCAACCTGTTACTGGTGTCACAGTATGTCACATTCACAAAATGAGATCATGAATTCCTTCAAGCCTAGTTACACAGTCACAGTTGACTGCACACATGTTCATCTTCCTACACTCAACACTTTAAAAAAGCATTCAACCAGTAGATCAACAAGGATAACTATTCTTAAATGTATAACCTTGTGGTGCAGGAATGTACCATGCGGGATCACATAGCTTCATCACATATATTCATCGGTGACAGCCCAGCTGTGACACATGCAGAAAACGTGGTTCTTAAATCACATTAATTAATGTTATGAGGTTTCATTGATCCTTAGTAGCATTGCACTTTTGCTGGGATGAATGAATGCCGTACGGTCGTATGTGGTACAGGTAAAAGTCCAGAATTCTCATGTCATCTGGTGGCACATAATGAAAACTGACGGCATACTTGCTGACACCAAATCCCTGGAAAAATCAATAAAAAACGTTGATCAAATGGTCTCAACATCCTAAAGTCTCTAGTTCAGTGGTTCTCAACCTTCATAACTAATGCTGCGACCCTTTTATACAGTTAATATTGCGGTGGTCCCCAACCATGAAATTATGTTCATTGCTACTTCATAATTGTTGAGTATATATTACTATATATGTTTTCCCGGTGGTCTTAGGGCAACCCCTGTGAAAGGATTTTTCTACCCCTAAAGGGGTAGTGACCCACAAGTTGAGAACCACTGCTCTAGTTGATCATATGGTCTCAACATCCTGTCTCAAGTTCATTGTATGGTCTCAACTTCCTAGAGTCTCTGGTTGATCATATTGTCCCAAAATCCTAGAATTTCTCTGGTCATATTGTCCCAACATCCTAGAGTCTCTAATTGATCATATGGTCTCAACATCCTGTCTCTAGCTCATTGTATGGTCTCAACATCCTGTCTCTAGTTCATTGTATGGTCTCAACATCCTGTCTCTAGTTCATTGTATGGTCTCAACATCCTGTCTCTAGTTCATTGTATGGTCTCAACATCCTGTCTCTAGTTCATTGTATGGTCTCAACATCCTGTCTCTAGTTCATTGTATGGTCTCAACATCCTGTCTCTAGTTCATTGTATGGTCTCAACATCCTAGAGTTTCAGATCCTCTAAAAAATGTCAAGGTTTACTAAGGTTTTTTCCCAGATCTCTAAAGGTGATCAAACAATTAATATTGCAACTGTAAATGTTCCTCTTGGGATGTATCAGTTTGGGGTATATCACTGTAAATGTTCCTCTGTGGATCTATCAGTTTGGGGTATATCACTGTAATTGTTCCTCTGTGGATCTATCAGTTTGGGGTATATCACTGTAAATGTTCATCTGAGGATCTATCAGTTTGGGGTATATAACTGTGAATGTGCCTCTATGGATCTATCAGTTTGGGGTTTATAACTGTGAATGTGCCTCTGTGGATCTATCAGTTTGGGGCATATCACTGTGAATGTTCCTCTGTGGATCTATCAGTTTGGGGTATATCACTGCAAATGTTTCTCTTGGGGTGTATCAGTTTGGGGTATATCGCTGTAAATGTTCCTCTGTGGATCTATCAGTTTGGGGTATATCACTGTAAATGTTCCTCTGTGGATCTATCAGTTTGGGGTATATCGCTGTAAATGTTCCTCTGTGGATCTATCAGTTTGGGGTATATCGCTGTAAATGTTCCTCTGTGGATCTATCAGTTTGGGGTATATCTGTAAATGTTCCTCTGTGGATCTATCAGTTTGGGGTATATCGCTGTAAATGTTCCTCTGTGGATCTATCAGTTTGGGGTATATCGCTGTAAATGTTCCTCTGTGGATCTATCAGTTTGGGGTATATTGCTGTAAACGTTCCTCTGTGGATCTATCAGTTTGGGGTATATCGCTGTAAATGTTCCTCTGTGGATCTATCAGTTTGGGGTATATCACTGTGAATGTTCCTCTGTGGATCTATCAGTTTGGGGTATATCACTGTAAATGTTCCTCTGTGGATCTATCAGTTTGGGGTATATCGCTGTAAATGTTCCTCTGTGGATCTATCAGTTTGGGGTATATCGCTGTAAATGTTCCTCTGTGGATCTATCAGTTTGGGGTATATTGCTGGTTTCTTACATTAAATTTTATTTTGTGGTCTCTCCTTTCATTTAATTATGGGACAATAAGAAAGATTTCTTTCCATCTCATTGACTCAACATTACGTATTAAAATGTGGAGTCTAATTAAAATGTAAACATCATTCATATCCTACCAACGCCGTCTAATCTAATGTACCTTTTGAGGTATACCAGCGGTGTATTTTCGATGCCAGGAGGGGAATTTTCCCAGGATGTGGATCTCAGGATGCATGGGATGGAAGACACTTCTCCCTATTTCATCCAAGGACCTGGAAGTCTTGACACCAAGTTTCTCCATGCAGATACCAAACTCGACATCTTCATCACCACCATCTTCCCGACATACAGTCGAGTTCACAGCCTTTTTTCCAAAACGACGCAGAGCCTCCTTGCTGATGACATAGCCGCCACCCCCACTGCCAAAAGATTAATTAGAGTCATGCATTATGCTTAAGTCTAACCCAACTGTACTTGTCATGCCTGGATGGTTTGCTTTGGATAAGAGATTTCAAGTTTTTAATAATCGAGAATTGCGTGGATGAGTTGTACCACAGTGGTGGACATCTGATTATCATGTAGGAAATTACAAGTTCAGTGAAATGTTAGGTAGAAATTGTTAAACAGAAATTGTTAGGTACTCTTCATCTGTACATTGATCAACAATCCTTTGCGATAATTGTAAAGTTGTAGCACAAGATTTATTCCAGTCTCAGATGCTTAACTCATCATTAGGATTTGTGTTCTACTGCTGTAAGCTAGTATCCAACTCATCTGTTCATGTTATCTCCCATATCACAACCAAATATTTTTAAAATACCCAACTGCCTTAAGACACACAGCATGATGACTTTCAGGCCTACCTGTAATATCCTTGGCGGACGTTTCTTTTAAAGAGATGTCCAAAATAAATGGGATCCTCTTTATTCTTGTCCGACAGAAAGAACCGCAGATTCTCCAGGATAACATAGGTGTCGTCATCAGCCTGCGAGATGGGCAAATGTTTCAGGTTTGTCAGTACAAATAGATAAGAGTCATTGCAAGTAGAGAAAAGATGCCTTTCATTGACAGCAGAAGTTATTAGAACTGTATTCCTTAATGAATATAATGCTATAATAAATGCAACAAACTGTATACCTTCATGAACCAATCGGCCTCCTCAAAGTGATTTTCATAAATATATCTGAAAGCTGCCATAGTTTTACCCGTCAGGTGAGTCCTGCCTTCTGGTACATCCAGGCTGACAGTTGGGAAGTCAAGGTCAGTCACAGAGCTGTCACATTGAGGACAAACGGGGATTAACATACTTTTTGACAATGTGAACTTTTGGATGTCCTATTATGTCATGTCTGGCTGCACTAAATGTCACATTAGTATACTTGATGAACTAAAGATTACTTTAACATAACTGATGAACTAACTATTATTTTAGTATTATATTAGATCAACTAACAATCACTTTGGTGTTAAATAAGATAAACTAACAATCACTTTAGTATTACATTAGATCAACTAACAATCACTTTAGTATTACATTAGACCAAGTAACAATCACTTTAGCATTACATAAGATAAACTAACAATCACTTTAGTATTACATTAGACCAACTAACAATCACTTTAGTATTATATTAGACCAACTAACAATCACTTTAGTATTACATTAGACCAACTAAACAATCACTTTAGTATTACATTAGACCAACTAACAATCACTTTAGTATTACATTAAACCAACTAACAATCACTTTAGTATTAATTTTCAAGTTGAATGAATTAAGAAATGAACACATCTGTAAGATAGCCCTTGTTAAATAGGTTTTCATTTTTCATGTAGCAATTTTGGTTAAAAAGTTATGATTTTTTTAGTGAATAAAAACTCACTTTTTTTAACATAGAGATTTGTGACCACTATTCAAACAAATTGTTTACAAAAAGGCTCATAACTTTATAGCAGAGTGGACAGATAATATGAAACTTTCCAGAAGTGTTTATCATCGTATTATCAACATCTTTGTTGCTTTAAAAACTAAAAAAATAAGTTAAAACAATATTTTTATAATATTTTTTTACATCATTAAAAAACTTAAAAAAAAAAAAAATAATAATAATAATTTTAAAAAATTAAGACTAAACATAATTTATTTTAAACCAGGAAATATAATTGAGGCAATTTTACAATAAAAATTATAATTTAATTTGAAAGGGAGCAATATCTGATAAAATATTAGTTAATATGTCTATTATTGTATAGATATTACAATAAAAAGTAATATTAATTAAGATGGAACTTGATTGCTTTAAGCATTATAAAATTTCTTGGGCTTTCTTATCTGTCAACTAGTCATATATAGATCTAATACTGTTTCCGGTTTGTATCTTTCGTTTTCGGTCATTATTTTTTTTTTTTCTTCAAGTTTTAGACCCGTTCTGGCCAAAAATAACTTTGTTATGGTTATCTTAGAGACTTGAAATTTTAAATGGTAATTTTTTATACAATTTTACAGGTACACCAGGTCAATTTAAAATGGGGCAACGAATAGTTTTCAAAATATTTATAAATTAGACTTAGCTGCTTTATCACATTTTTTTTATTTA